GAAAATCTTGCCAAGAAAACTGCAGAGACTAGTCCAGGCAGTCACCAAGAGTTAAAAACTGACTCAAAGGCACCCCCCCCAAAAAATTTTTTTCAGGACTATGTAAGAGAATTTCCTGCCTTCTTTTCAATTTGATGTGAATATATTCTATTATTTTGCATATTGGCTGCATTAGATACAAGAAAATGTTTCAGTGAATTGTGTTCCTTGTGGTACTCCAGTTATTGATCCAGAAAATTTACAGTTAATTTTGTCTTCAATAGCTGAGTTGCTTGTTTCTATTTTTTGAAGTGAGTGGGCACATTCCTGCAAAATAAGCCATTTTTAAAGTAACATCAAGAGATGTCATTTCAATGCGGTTTGCAGCCCATCTTCATGCTCTTCTTCAAGGGACATGAGGCTGAACTCATTGACTGTCCCCACTGCCTTGCGTTGGGCTACCATATCTAAGCTGCAGAAATATGGATGACCACTAAATGACAGCAGAGAGCAACAGCAATCTCTAAATTGTTCCCATCTAATGTCCAGATTTCCGCAGTCCATATACCTATATATGCCATAGTCTTGGATAGATTGTTTTTGCTCTAAGGATGGTTAATTAAGATTTTAAAAATTACCAAGAAATTCACTCTGCAGCCAGGCCTGTTGCCAGGTCACCATGAGAATGTCACTCCCAGCTCATAAGAAAACAAAGGAAGAGATAAAGCACCTTGCCAGGTTTGCAAAATTAACTCCTGATTTCGTTAAAGTACTATTCTTCAGCTTCCCCGTGTTTGTGTAACCAAGTAAGCTGGCATGGTCATCAGGCCACCTCCACCTCCTGTGCTGAATTGTGTATCCAAGGTCACAATCTGATGCTATGGTTACATCAGATAAAATGGTATCTGAAAGTAGTGAGAATGACTGGCCATCAGCTGAGATGGATTTCCATCAGCAAAGTTACACCCCAGCAGAAATTCCCCACCTTGCCAGTAGAGCTGTCCATCATACAGATATGCCACCTTCTCTGACTAGTGCAGTGGCCAGGCAGGCCACATGGCAGCTGTATCCAAATTCCCATTATTCCCCTGGCATTTATTATTAGATTTATATCCCGACTTTACTTCAGGAGCTCAAGGACAATGCAACAACAAAACCAACATACAAGATAACTTAGTCTGAAAGAGGGTGACTGGCCCAAAGTCACCAAGTCTTCTATGGCTGAGGGTGGTCCAGAATCATGGACTTTCCCAATGCTAATCCAATACTTTAATCACTGCATCACACTCTCTCTAAGTGGTTCTCTAAGCCATGATGGCAGTGCAGTTTAATTACTGTACAGTTAACACTGTTTTTCCTTCCATTCAAGCCAATAAGACATTTGGGGTGGGGTAGGGAAACAATAAGAAATAGTCCTCCACTTCCCTCTCCCCCAGCTTTACTGCCATAGCAGAAATCAGAACACTCTCTACCTCAGCTTCTATTCCCAAAATATCTCAGCTCCTATATAAATCCCACATAAATGCAATGGCTGGGTTCGTCATTATTTAATTACGAATTGCTGAATAAGTATCTGAGTTTGCACAAAACACAAAGCCATAAACCATAGTTTACAAACCACTATGACTGGCTTCACAAACATTTTGTACATATACTGTATACATATACTGTATACATACCTCTTATGCTAATCCCTTTTGGGATAAGCAACATTATGCAGAAAAAAAGTAAGAAGTAGCAAGCAAAAGCAATTCAAGGCTGGAGACAAAGAAGAGCAAAAGAAACCCAACTAAATTTGGGTTGTACCAACACTATACCTCTTTCTTCCTTGAACAGCAGTCTTGATAGAGCTGATCCTGGGAAGAAAAAAGAGATGTGTAGGTTTACCAGAGAAGTAGCATTCCTATGCCCTAGACCAGTGTTCCTCAACCTTGGCCACTTTAGGATAGGTGGACTTCAACTCCCAGAATTCCCCAGCCAACTGGCCCCAGACCAGTGTTTCTCAACCTTGACATCTTGAAGATATGTGGCTGGAAATTCTGGGAGTTGAGGTCCACACTTCTTCAATTTGTCAAGGTTGAGAAACACTATCCTAGACATTGGTTCTGCAAATAGTATGCTAACAGCACTAGGTTAGAAGCAACTTCACCTCCTGCAGTACTATTGGAAAACTTTTAAGGAGGCAGGAACTGCTTGGAACAAACACAACAGCACAGCGATAGCTAAATCCCTCCTGAAAGGCAAGGGGTGGCTTCTCTTGTGGCCGGCAGAGATCCTGAGCCTGTGAGAGAGCAAGGGAACACATGCAAAACTCAATTCATACATTATGCTAAACCATATTGTATTTGCTTGGTTTGGGTTGTGTGAACCTAGTCACTATGGTTTGTAAGCCAAGTTTTCTGCTTAGAATTTTGTGCAAATCCAGCCAATTGATGCTTATTCAATTAATCAGCCTTGAGTAACCCATGGCATTACATATTATACAAACTAAATCACTGTGTAATTTCTGTCTCATTAAAATTACAGTTTGGTACTGATTTTTGGAAGTCTCTGGGAACCACATTCAAGGTTTGGAAGGACCTGAGGCCTCCAGTCTTGCACTTCTGGCATTGTGTGTATGTGAACTATATCAATTGTGGTTTATTCAGTTAAGCATAATTAAGCAAACTATATAGCTTAGTAGGTTGCATGAGCACAGCCACAGCTAGGCTAGGTTTATACACAATCCACTAGGCTAAAATGTGGTTAGTTTGTAACTCAGTACAAAATCCAATAGGTATAATTCAGAATTTTGCACAAACCCAGATAACTGGATTAATTCAGTAAACCATGATTCAGTTAAGTATGGGTTGGCATATATATAAGACAATGTTCTGATCTACATCAGCAGGAACTAGCTTTTTTCACCAAGTTCTCCTGGACGGATAAGCAGCTTCTTACAATGCCGTGAAGGACACCAGGACTTGTTTTACACATCATATTAAGACAAGTATGTAAAAGTGTAGCCAGGGGCCACAAGCAGCTCACTTGTGCACCCAAAGCCCCCTCAGAGAGTTAGTGCTCTTATATTTGCATGGGAATTATATATAGTCCTAAACCATAAATTGCCCAGAGATCTGTAAATAGATGGGATAGGCAACTAAATAAACCATTATTTGCAAACTACAGTTAGTGGATCTCTAAACTGCAAAGAGCCCAAACCAAACAAACCAGGTTACATTTGGCATAATCTGTGAAGCCACCCAATGTGCTTTCCCATCCCTCAATCATGCTGACAGGTTGGGCATGCGCATGCCGTGAGTTCAGCATTACGAGAGAAAAGCACAAAGAATGCGCATCTAATGCAAAGGCACAAGACACCTGTATCTTCGCATTAGATGCCTTTCTCATCCTCATTTTCTGCTGGATTACCAGTCTTCTGCCCTTCAAATTATTTTAGTTTATTTCTGACCCAGAGATGAAAGGGTAATACGTGAAGCTGCCCTGGATGTAGCTAAAACCAGCTCCTCATTCCTGCACGCTCCACGCAGTTCATTCAATACTGGGTAAGTCTATTAATACAGTCTTCTATTTATATGCTGGCCCTTTACAGCAACAGAGCTGAGAGCTGCAGCTGTGCAACTGAAACAAAATAAACCTCCTGTTAGTCACTTGGGAGAAGTGATTGGTCGAGGCAGGGTAAGAAAAGAGGAGTAACAGGAATGCAGAAAGAGCGCTCAGCGTGCAGAACCCGGCACGGCAGGTTTGATGGATCGTAACTGCAGCGCAGAGAAAGGCAGGTCAATACTTTTACTGCAGAGGCAAGTCCATCTCAAAAAGCGGTCAGAAACACGTACTCTGCCTGCCGCATAAACAGTCAGCAAAGATCTGGGTGGAGGGATATGGAGCTTCTTCGCATGGCAGCGCCTGCTTAGTCACTGAGCTTCTGCTAAAGGGACAAGGACAAGGGAAACCATATCCAAGCCCGGAAGGCAACCTAGGACTTCTGCCCCAGCGATGGAGAGATCAAGTGGGACGTACCTCAACATGGACGCAGTGGCCTCTCGGGTGGGAGTTGCTCGACTCTTGCAGGCTGCGTTTGGATGTACCACCTTCAGCCTCGTGGCCCACCGAGGGGGATTCAGTGCGGCCTACGGCTCCTTCTGCATATCGGTCTGGTGCTTTTGCTTTGCCGTCACCATCTTCATCCTCACCTGCGAGTTCACTCGCCTCCACAGCTGCCTAAGCATCTCCTGGGGGAATTTCACAGCTGCCTTTGCCATGCTCGCCACCCTCATGTCCATCACTGCCGCTGTGATCTATCCGCTCTACGTCCAGTTTGACTGCGATTCCAAGAGCTGTGAGGTGAGAAACTTCCGCATTGCCAGTAGTATTTTTGCAGGGCTTCTCTTCTGGGCGTATGCTGCAGAAGTGTTTCTAACTAGGGCCAAGCCAGGGCAGGTAACAAGTTACATGGCCACGGTTTCAGGCCTCCTGAAAATTGTCCAGTCCTTTGTAGCTTGCATCATCTTTGGCGCTCTGGCGAAGGACAGCCAATACAATAAATACGCGGCTACTCAGTGGTGTGTGGCTGTTTACAGCTTCTGCTTTGTGGTGACGGTGGTAGTGGTGGCTCTCAACGTCACAGGAAAAACAGCAACGCTGAAATGCCCCTTTGAGCACTTTGTGGTCGTCTACACGTTCGTGGCTGTCCTGATGTATGTGAGCGCTGCAGTGATATGGCCGGTTTTCTGCTTTGATCGTAAATATGGCTCTCCACACCGCCCCTACCAGTGTTCCCGAGCCCTGTGTCCGTGGGACAACCAGGTGGTCATTGCGGTATTCACCTATGTGAACCTAGTACTCTACATGGTGGATTTAGCATACTCGCAGCGTATCCGCTTTATCTCACCTCACTAATGCTCAGCCCTGATGCTATAAGTATCTTAAATGACTCCAAGAATGAGAGATTTGGGACCTATTACAAAGCTGACAGTGACCCACAATCAAAGTATGTACTGGAGAAGAGACCTATCCATGGGGAAAAAGTGGGATGGTTTGAAAAAATATGCAGCGTAATCTTCTGGGTCATGGATGCCACACCATCAGAATTCAAGCTCACAAACAGGATTACTACAACATCCAGTTCGCTTAGGCCTAATACTAAGAATTCAGAAATAGATGTTGAACCCTAGATTGTTGGAAGAACTCCTGGGTAATTTAAATTTGCAGCAGAAATGGAAGGACAATTGAAATGCCAGAAAAAGCACCTGCCAATACTAAAGATAAGTTTTTGTTAAAGGAGAAAATAATACCTTTTTTATAAAACTGGTAGGTATTGATAGATATTCCAAAGTGGGAGGAAGGAGAGATTAAACCATCATGAAGATTTGAAATAGTTTGAACTTCAAACTTCCTCCAGACAAAGGAGAATAAAGATTTCTATACGCATGTGCTGGGTTGTGAGTAATGGGGGTACTGCTGTTGGGAGCGGTTTGAAAATACTATTACAATGTAACCGACAATTGCAACAGGAAGGCTGCTGTTCTTTTCAAAACAATTACTGTACTTCCAGACTGTTCTTCTCAATAGTCCTTCAAGAAGAAAGAATCTGAGGATACCTGGATGTCTGTGGAAATTGTGGCCGCCTGCAAGATATGTCTGCCTTTTAAGTCCAGGTATATTCATTCAGACCAGTGGTTGTTATGTCTAGAACAGACATTAAGGCAGCTTTCCCCAACCTGGAGCTCTCTAAATGTATTGGGACAGTAACTCCCAGAGTTCCCAGATGTAATGGAGATCACCACATTGTGGAAGAACTAGTCGTGTGCCTTGTCATTTAAAAAGGACATGGAATTTAATGAAGTGCCTATTGCCTGAAATGTGCTAGTTCTTAGCTTACAGCTAAGAGGTCACTTGCAGAATTAATCATGGTGCAAACAACAATACGGTAACTGATATCCTACAGTGTGAATCAGCATTTAAATAAATTTAATTTAAAGAAATTAATGTGCTTGTTCTAATGGTTTGTGTTAAACATGTGTGAATAAGCTATTTCAATCTAGAATAAAAACGGCTCATCAGAAAAAAAGATCCACTAAAAAAAATCTAAAGCACAGGAATTTAAATTTGTATTTCTGAAACATCTCGTTCTTGCATTTATCTTCCCAGCTTCTGTCAGCCACTTTAGACTGCTGTGTGTATATCCACTCCCCCTAGTTGCTGGGCACTGCCCTCAATGATCATTCTGGTCTGGGCTGCAGGAAAGACTGGCTGCTGCAGAGGCCTGACCGACACTTTGCAAAGAGCTTCTGCAGGCATTTTATATACATGGGTTTAGCACTCTTCTGAAAGAGCACTAGACGTGCATTTATAAAACAGTATTTGTGAGCTGTACAGAAGGTTGATTCAAACTGGGAAAGGGAGCCAGATTCTGCCAGCTGGGTCCGACTGGATCTGTCACTAATGGGTGCATTACAGGTTTCTGATACTTCACTTTGCAGGAGGGTGGGAATAATTTGCTTACTCCTATGCCACTGTGCCTACTCTAGAGGCTACTTCTGAGTGCTGCTTGCCATGGACATTCACTACCACCCTGGCATGCTCCTTCAATATTGATCCTTCCCTCCCACTGCACCTCTTGCCCCTCCTCCATGCCTGACAGGTCACAAGTGTAGAGGAGACCAAGCAGTGAAGCAAATGGGAGTTCTCCCAGGATATCCCTGAGTGGGTAGAAAACAACACCAGCATGAAACTGGATGCCCTTGTTACCCATCTCTGTTCTGACACTACTGCATATATTCTGATTCACTCTGAAATGGTGTTGTTCTGATTGTGAGTTTGTAGCGTGTGGTAGATGAAGCTTAGATACTTATAGACCCATTAATGTCTTCCTCCATCTTTGCTGTCCTCCCTCTTTAGCATGTCACCAACTGGCAGGAAGAACATCTGCCAATCGTTGCACAGCAGCAGGAAGAGAGCAGGTTGGATTGCAGAATCTGCCCGTCAACTCTAAACTTTTTCCTGGGTCCTTCCTTCTACATTTAATTCTGTAATAATGCTTTTTAGCAAGTCAGATACAAACCGAAAAGGGAACTCAGTCAGAAGAAGTACTTTTATTTAGGATTTATCTTCCTTTCCATTCTTTTCCTTCCCTTATAGAGGCAACAAATGCCAACTATTCAGAAGGAAATTAGGGGAAAGGGGGTTTGGTCCTTCTTTTCAATGTTACACTATTTCACTGTTACAATATATATAAATATTTCAAGCTCTGGTAAGGACTTTTCTTTACAGTTCACTTACCGCATACTACATTTTGTCTGGGAGACAACAGCAGACTGGGACCAGAGGGAAATGGGTTTGCCCACATCAACCTGAAATGGGCCATAAGTATGTTTCTGATCCTACTCACTACAGGTCACCTGACTTTATCTTTGATGCAAAGGGCAGTGAAATGTTACAAATTAGACACTTTGTGGCTGTCATTGGATGATGCCAGTTTAATAGGGAAAACACTACTTTAATGCTGGCACATTTAAGGATAACTTAAGGCTCTCTCATTCATGGATTGGAAACACAATGGTGCCAGGTACAAATGAGTAAGGCCCACAGAAAACATTATGTAGTGTTCAGCTGCTTTCTTTCAAAACTCTTGTTATCAGTAATGCATAAGTAAATAAATTTATATATAATGAACATTAATGCACCATACAGAGCTCAGAATCCTGTTTCACACACTAGAACTACTGGTAACATACATTTCTAAAGTACCTTTAATCCAAAGAAGAAAATAAGAGCAACACTGCCCATTCTTTGGTTTTCAGTCAATAAAACAATTACGGCTTCCTAATCAGTAGCTGTGATATCCATCAGCATTTCCCCGTCTCTAGATGTAGTGAATTATCTTCCCTTCTAGTCAGGTTCAACCCTGAACATGGGTCCAAAACTGTACTGCTCACACTGATGATCCCTACATTGGGACCTGAGTGGAGAGTTTACACATTTCCTGGTCTTACTAGATTTTTGGCTGTGTTCATTACCAGTGACCATGGTACCCTTCTGGACTGCCTGTGAAAGTTGGAGGCACGGTTTTATGGCAATTCTGCTCCTTCCTGACTGGATAGTTTTGGTGTGTGGTCATGAAGGAGGAGTAATCAGCTCATGATTGCTCCAGTGAGGGTTTCCACAAGGTATGGCTTTCTCCCCCTTGGTATTTAACATCTATTGAGAGAAGTCATCCATCAATTTGGGGTGAGCTGTCAGCTTTGGAGTTGGCAGGCAATCAATCATCTGAAGCAGACAAGAGAGACCACATGCAGAGCAGGTGATGGCAGACTCAGATTATGAAGAGCCAGATCATGGCAGGTTGTCTAAATCCCAGGACATACTAACAACTTTGAAGGACAGAGCAAAGGTGATCTACTTGACTAGCTGAGAAGCCAGGACAACAGTGCCCCTAGCTGAGTCACACCCACAGCTGGGGCTACTTTGAAGCAGCTGCCAGGGTCTTGCTCTCTGTTGGAAACAACTTTCCAACACCAGACCTGTGTTCCTATATCCTCGCTCTGCTCTTGGACTTTAGACTATCACTCAAAGCGGTTTGTGGAAGTCTCTTACATTTGTATCCTAGATTGACAGACGACTTCTGCTTCTCTGCTGTTGCCTCACCCCATTCTTGTGCTGTTGGCTGTCTGCCTCCTAGCCTTGCCTCTTATCTCTTACTGCTATGATTGTAGACTGGATCCCTGAACTCTCAGCTTCAACCTGTACAGTATTTGTAGACCACCAGGGCTGTGTCTCGCTACCAGGCAAGATCTCACCTTCCCCATATTTCTCCTGGAGTATGTGTGCAACTGCTCAGTCAAGCATTCTACCCACCTTCTTAATTGTTAGAATTACAACTTCATCATTAAATCAGTTGCTACTTGCTTCTGTGTGATCGTTTAGTCTAGAATAGGACATTTCTCCTGACTAGACTCCTCCACCAATTGTGTACAATAATCTCAGGCGGGGATGCTTAGCATTCTCCTCACACAAGAGATCAAGCGAACTCAGTGGTGGTTCCAACATTGTGGAAAAACTTACCTCCTAATATCCCTGAGCTTTCAATCTGCTGCCTTTCCACAAAGCTGTGAGAAAAGAGTTTTGTTTCAACACATGCTTGAGCACTAGTGGTGGTACTGGGTAGCTGTTTTGGTTTTACTGAGATTTTATTTGGATGTTTCAAGTTATAAATTAGTAGTGATTTTGCTGGAGAATTTAGGGATTTCAGTTTACATGGATTCTCTGTATTGTATATTGTAAACCATCTTGAATCTGTATGATAAATGAATCTAATGTATTTATGTTTACATCCTATTTGAAATATGATTTCCCTCTTATAAGTAGCACACAAATAAAGAGCACCATGACCACTTTCATTCACACGGCCTGAATCACGCATTCAGGAATTTCAGCATCTGACTGATGAATTGGCAGAGAAGATAAATGCACATTGTAGCTGGCAGAAATGGACACATTTGAGCAAAGCTACATAATTTTGGAGATAGTGGTTAGTTCTCACCTTGCACTTCATTAGCTGTTATGGGGAAGCATGAGATGTGATGATATAATTTTATCAGTCAGATGGTTTTATAATTTAGAGGAATGAGGGGATTGCTACAATTATACAGTAGCTCTGATTCTAATTAAAAATATACCTAAAATTTAGAAGAAACGTATTATGTACATGAGTATATATATCTATACATAAATATTACACCAGAACTCTGAGAAGAAGCTGATATGCCAAGATCTCCAAATCAGGAATTAACTGCCTCACACCTGCTATGCTGCTTAAATTGTCCTATTGCCTTTAAAAGCATCATTGATAGATGCCATTGCATTCCTCAGAGTATAAATTCTACAGCACCATCAGGATT